ATCTACTCAGTACTGAACCATAGTTTAATAATATTTAATCTCAATAGTTCAGTGGTTACAATACCAATATGATTGTATTTTGATGTTTTACTATAATATTGTCCTAATATTGCTCTATTGCTGTAATATATTGCAGTTCAGTGTCAACAATTGCATTGGCAATGTGGCCTCTTTCTGCACACATACAAACCAACCCTTGGCAGTACCCTCTGCCACAGCTCCAGTGGTCTCATGGTTAACTCTATGGGCTTTCATGTGGGAGATCAGGGTTCAAAACCCAGCTACAGCAACTTTAACAAAAAATCTCTACAAACTTCATATTGTTACACAATTACCCTCATTACAGACACCTGCTGACTTTACAAGCACAAGCTGGCAGAAAATACATTTGAACTTGGTCACATTTCATTCTTAAAGTCCACTGCTGCAGGCAAAGCCATGCTGCAATGACATGCTACATGGCAATGCACACTTGTTTTTGCATCGTAAAAACCCATGTCTGGTTTATTTTTGTAGTTTGGATCCAACATTAAATAATCCATAAGTTTTCCAGCTTATCAGTGAGAAAGTTTGAAGAGCTTCATTTAACAAACTTTTTAGAAGTCAAATCGTCCCACTCCTCTTGTTAAACCTTCTCAGTTAATGCCGTTTAAAGATATCAAGGGAACAAATTTAACACAGGAAAAATGTTGGTATTTTTACCTTTTGGTCAAAATTTTCTGGCGTGAGAAAGAAGTTGTAGAGCGGAACAAAGTATCCTTCCAGCAGACCCATCAGCAGCACCAGATAAACACCGTCTGCAAACTGAAACAGCACAAACAGTCAACACTGCAGAACCAAGGCTTTTATTTTGAAATCACAACAACATCTTGAACCTGCTTCTTTCTAAACAGTAATAAAAATGCAGATAAAACTAAAAGAAGTTGACTTTTTTTAATCTACTGATGGATTAAATCCCATTCCAGCAGCGTGTCTGGTGGTACCGCTCTGTGACCCACCTGTGTTTCCAGCTCAGACACCTCCAGGTTCAGTTTGTTCAGGTGTTTGTTCACAAACGTGATCAAAGTCTGAGGAACGACAAAGAGAAAAACGTCAGACACACAAGCTGACCGGGCTTTAAAACAAGACGAAAATAACACCACCTGTAAACCAGCTGGATTTTTAATCCTAATTTTAAATAAGCTGGAGTGTGTTACACTGTAAATAAAATAAAATACCTTGAAATGTATTATAGGATTGTCCAATAAAAATGGACAGAAAGGACACTAAAATGTATTTTCTCTGTACTTAAATATTTGTGACCCATCATATCGAAATGAGGATTAAGTCAAATTTGGTCAAAATGAACTCATTATATTTTCAGAGTTGTGGCTTTAAAAACTACATTTTGATACCTGGATCATCCTGATAATCAACAGTTTATCCAGAAATATGACTTAATTTGTCTTGTTGGTTACGATGATACATTGACGTTTGGTCTGAATCCTAATTTTATGTAAATTTATTGAGTATTTTTCATGTCAACATAAAGAGGAAACCTCAAACAGTATTTGTATATTGAGATTTCCTAATTGGAAAGAAACAAAAACATTGCTAGCTCACAGGGAAAAATGTTTTTTTACCCCTCAAAATCAGTTGTTTTGTTGCTACTGCTAAAAAAAAACGCTTCAAAAAAAATTTTAAATGTTTTTTATGAATATATTTCAGACAGTTCATTCAAATGATACATTAATAAGACATTAATTTAATATATTTTGACAAAATGCTATTTTTAAAATCACAACCCTATTTCTGCCTATTTCTCCACATTCCACTTTTGGACTTAATCCTCGTTTCGATGTGACGGGTCACAGATGGATGAAAGATTCTGTCGTTTGGAAGCAGCTTTAAAAATTAAAGGTTTCTTTTTGTAAAGAAAAATCACACAAGACTGAATACCTTTTTGACAACGTTCAGCTTATCTGGAGCGTGGTCAAACAGGGTGTCAAAAGCATCCCGCTCTGAGGAGGAGAAAGAAAATATTTAATTACTAAACGTAAGAAAAACTTACAGAATCCAGGAACAGTTTGACAATCCTGGTTTCTGATGAATACATACCGTGTCTGCCGGAGAAAGCCCTGAAAAAATAAAATAAAAAAATGTTTACAATACAAAAAAACAAACAAACAAAAAAAAAAAAACAAAGGCAGTTTGTATGGGATAAATCTTGTGCCAGCAGGAACTGAATTTGAACTGCTCAGATTGAATCTGAATGTTTATCATTAGAAATTGAATGCATTGGTTTGAAAATAAATTTCACTAAATTGAAACTGAATTTGAAGTTTTGTATCTGAATTAATTTGTTTTGAAACTGTATTTTGGTTTATTAAAAATTCAGTTTGACTACTTTCACTTTCAGTCCCATAATTCAGATTTTTGTGTCACATCCTGGTCCTTGAGAAAGCCAGGCAGAGTAATCAAACACAGATCCACAGATTTATGTTTCACTTTGGTGAAGTTTCCCTTCTGGATGTAACAGAGTTGATGCAATCCACTGTAAAAGTGACAAAAACAAAGTTATTTTACTGCAGTGATTAATTTGACCTATATATAGAAAATGTTACATTTACATCACATCATGGATCAGTCAGCAGCAGCGTCTGATCAATATGTGATCCATGATGTGATGTAAATGTAACATTTTCTACATGCAGGTCAAATTAATCACTGCAATAAAATAACTTTGTCTGTTTTTGTCACTTTTACAGTGGATTGCATCAACTCTGTTACATACAGAGGGGAAACTTCACCAAAGTGAAACATAAATCTGTGGATCTGTGTTTGATTACTCTGCCTGGCTTTCTCAAGGACCAGGATGTGACACAAACATCTGAATTATGGAACTGAAAGTGAAAGTAGTCAAACTGAGTTTTTAATAAACCAAAATACAGTTTCAAAGCAAATTAATTCAGATACAAAACTTTAAATTCAGTTTCAATTTAGTGAAATTCATTTTCAAACCAATGCATTCAATTTCTAATGATAAACATTCAGATTCAATCTGAGCAGTTCAAATTCAGTTCCTGCTGGCACAAGATTGATCCCATAAGTTTGAACTTATTGATAATTTCACACAATAGGAAAAAACGAGACATGTTTCCAGTTCAACCACAGAGGAATGCAGATTATGTCACACAAATAACAATAAGCGCCGGGCAGAACCGTTTGATTAAGCCTATAGAAGAGCGCACCTCAGGTATTTAAACAACCTGAGACTCATCAGTCAGAACGCTCACAATGACCGCGTGATGCAGGACAATGCAAACATCCCAGGAGAGCAACAATCCTGCAGGCTTTGAAAACAATAAATGAAGACATGTCTGTGCAGAACACAGCTTTTCTATGGGAATGGAGCTCCTTTTGTCTGCCGTCACAGCGCTCCACTCTGTGGAGGACATGTTCTCGCTGGAAAGGGTCAGGTGCTTCTGGAGGGAAGGAATCGCTGCAGAACACGTGTCCCGGAGGAAGAGATATCGCAGCAGGCAGGCCAGCAAGAAGTGGCAGGCTCACACACACACACACACACACACACACACACACACACACACACACACACACGTGTTCATGGTGTAATCTCTGATGGCAAACGCAGGCAGGTCTGGGCAACAGTCCTGCTGGTGTGGTAATAACCCTACTGTCTCTGTGTGTGTGTGTGTGTGTGTGTGTGTGTGTGTGTGTGTGTGTGTGTGTGTGTGTGTGTGTGTGTGTTTTATTAGTAGTCTACCCATCTAGCATGACCAAATGTGTTTGTTTGGGAGTGTTGGCCTGCCGTTATCTCCCTGGTCGGTGCTGTCGGACTGCAGGACAGCCTCCCAGGGGGAAACACAAAGTGTGTGAGAGGCTGATTTAAATTGTCTAATTCTTCAGCTGAGGGTGCCGTCACACTGCGGCTCGCCTCACAAAATAGACATTTTTGTGTTTTCCATATAGAGCTGGCTGCGGCGGCCATCTTGACCCGGATCTGCTTTGAAAGGTAACCGGTTGTAGCCGTGCATGTGGGGATTATTCATCAAAAGGTTCATTAAAATACACCAAGAAACATTTTTGCTAACTCTAATAGTTAACCTCTTTCTTGAAGTTTTTGTTCAAAATCCCATGCTGAAATGTAACTGAGTGTATCTCAGCATTTACAAACTCTGTTTAAATTAAATAATCTTGGTATCAAAATAAAGCAACACCTGGGAGATTTTATTAGAAGTGTAAGTGTTAAAACAGCTGCTGTGGTTTTAGAGATATTAAGGATGAAACATAATCTTTTAAACATTTTCTTCCTCCTGTCTGAATAATTTTTGCATTAAACAGTATATAACCTTTTTAAAACCATAATGAATCAGACTAAAAACTCTCGGAAACTATAAACCCACTTGTGAACATTACCTGTGCAAACATTCATGCTGCTAAAACTAACTGGAGCAAAGTTACAGAGGTTTTAGTAAAGAAATTATTTTGTCATTCTGCACAGGACAGACCATAATAGTAACATTAATAAATGTTAAGAAATCTGAAGTTTTTACATCCAAAAGTTAATTTATTTTTTCTTACCTGCCTGAAAGGACTTGTTATTGAATGTTTGTTCTTTTGAAAAATTATCCAAACATTTATTTGTCACCATATATATTATATAAAATAATGAGAAATTAGATTTGACTTCAATTGGATCATATTCACTCAAAAACAAGTGGAAAAAAAAACTTTCAACACACTTTATAACATATTTAGGCATCTACTTTGATTTACTTTAAAAAAATAATGTCAAAAACCTTTCCTTTACAGATTAGTTGTAACGTATTTACAGATTTGCAACAATCCCATTTTGTACAGTTTGTTTACTTTCTGATTCAACTGCCTGTTGTTTGAACTGTTTGGTGAATATAAATATAGTTTCCATGAGCTTTTAGCCAAGATTCTTGTTTCGTTTGATACCAAACATGTCCAGGTTCAACTGACAGATCTGAAGTTAAAAGAAGTTAAAAGAAATGGAAAACAGAAAAAAGCTGTTTGGCTCAAGAGGTTAACGTCAGAAACACAGACAGATCAGTTAGAGCTCAGTCTAACCTGCTGCCAGATTTAACCTCATTATCTGTGTACAGCAGGGATATTCAACTAAAACTGCTCCGGGGGCCAAAATTACTGCAACAGCTGAGGAGCTGAACATCCAGCAATTAAAGTTATTATGTAAAAAAAAAAAAACCAAGTATTACAAAGATCTGTTACCTTTGATTTAGTTTATTTTGATGTATTTAATCATGAATACAACAAACAGAACCCTATGGCATAAAAGTAGTGATAATAAAACAATATCAAAATAACATATTATGCCTCAAATTAACACAAATCTTATTTTGACATCTCTAACCTGTTACATTTTTTGACTGATTTTATTTTCACTTTCATAGTTTTATCTTCAACTGCTTGTAGTTTTAACTGTTTCAGATATTCATGGAAGTGTTTTTTTACCAGCTTGGTTTACCACACCGTGTCTAACTAAAACAACTTTAGGGTGTATTCAGACCAGGAAAGTCCTTTGGTCCAATTGTTTGGTCCGGACCAAAAATGGACTTTATTTTTTTTCATTTGGTGCAGTTTGCATTCACATTGTGCTTTTTTGCAAATGAACTATAACTTGTAAACAAAGCCATCAGGCTGACGATCATTGCTCCCATTGGACAGAAAAAGGAAGGGGGCGGGACTGAGCCACAGATCCAGAAGAAAACAAGGAAGTCCTGCACGCTACAGTTCTGATGCGCACATTTTTGCTGATAGTACAACTGTAATAGCATTTAAAATGTCAGAAGCAGCTGATTTAATGGTGGTTCTGTGATGATATTCTAATTATGGAGCGGCGTCAGTAAATATGTCCCACAACCCAAAGGAGACGAGGTGCTCTGCGTGTTCTGACCCACTACATGTTGGCAGCAGAGCTGCTCACAGGAGACGACGAAACAGGTATGATTTCAGTTTATTTAGCTCAGCAACGGTGGCCTGTGARGTCCAAARWKGTGCATGTTTAATGCAGTTGGTTCGGTTAGAGTCCGGTCTGTATTCACACCAGAAGAGAACTAAAGTGAACCGCACCAGAGCTCGTTTGGAAGCGGACCGAGACCACATCAAAAAGCAGGTCTTGGTCCGGTTGTTTGATCAGCACCAGAGTTCACGAGTGTATTCACACCTGCAGAAAAGGTCCGGACCAACGCTGGAAACGAACTCTGGTTCGTTTAAAGCGGAACAAATGATCAGGTCTGAATACGACCTAAGAGTAATTAAAACAGAAAACTGGGGTTTGGAATTAAGAGAAAAAAGAACCCATTGGCGGGCCGAACTTTGGTCACTAACGGGCCGGATGTGGCCCGCGGGCCGCCAGTTGAATAGCCCTGGTGTGCAGTTATGTTTGTGTTGAACAAGACTGTGATAGATATTTTAAAACTTTATCAGTTTTTATATTTGATCCTATTGCATTAATCAACTGTATTAAATGTCTTTCTTGCTGCCATAATTTTCATCTCTGCAGCTTTGAGCTGCACTAACTGATAAGAAGCAACCCTGTGATTGGTCAAGATGTTTCTCTCTGTGCTCTGTTTGTAATAAATTGTACAACTTTTCCCAGCCAAGGTCAGAACTTTCTGCTGAGGCCCGTCTTTAAGCGTCCTCAGAAACTTCTCAGTCTTTGCAAAGAGAAAACTGTTTTAAACTGAACACTTACGTCTGTGTCTGGTTCATTTCTTTTTAAGAGGTAATTTAACGTCAACTCTGACAGACCGCATCGCAATCTGAAAGTGTAGCCATCACTTTACACTCATCCAGCTTCTTGGCGTTACCTAAAGTCTCTGAAATCTGTCTGAAAATGAACATTTTTCCACAAACAAACATTTCTCACAAAAGAGAAAGCAGAGTTTTGTACATCGAGGCCTGTCACAATAACAAATTTTACTGGACGATAAATTGTCTCAGAAATTATTGCGATAAACGATAATATTGTTGGAGACCAGTTTAAACTAATATAATGATGTAACACCTGTTTATTGAAGTTTACATTAAAATTTACATAGTGTAAAAAGAAAAAAACAACTAAGAGAGCATGGACCTGACAAACACCTGACACCAGAGCTCACTCCTCTCTACACTAAGAGGGAGACATGAAGAAAACAAACAAGCAACAAATGAAAATTATTGCCTTCATTTTAATTTTTCTTCCTCAATTTAATTTACCATACGATTAATTTATTGTTTACTGTGACACGCCTATGTACACCTATTTAAAATTCCCAAAGAGCAACAAATGAAAGCAGATATAAGGACTGAGGAAAAAGGAGCCAGCTGCTTGATAAAAATGTGCAAAAGTTACAAAAAACTAGTCCCTGAGATGAAGCTGATGATGAAAATGAGCCAACTCACTCAGTGTTGCCAGTGATTTCTTCCTGAATCTGCCTGGACTGAAGGATGCCCTCTCTTTTCTGAAACACACAAAGCGAGGACAATGAATACAACTGAGAGAAAACAAACAAACAAACAAACAGAAACACAAGGTGGTGACAAATAAAGCGAATAAGACTGGAAGATAAAATCCACGTCTTAGTGAAGATGTTAGAAGAGCTAACAGACGCCCACCTGGACCACCACCACTTGGATAGAAACGTGGTCGGGCAACCTGATTGGTGCTCTGAAGTGCTGCGACAGCGCCACCAGGAGGTGAAGGATGGCCACTATGCTCTTAGCATGGACCGCTGACGTGAGGAGACAAACAGAGTTTAAATGAACCTGAACCTTCAGGGTTATCAAACAGCAACAATTCACTTCACAAAGTGGAAAAAAGATAACCAGGACCTCAGGGAGGAAACTACACGTAGCTAAAATTAGCATTTAGCATTCATCTATTCACGACTAATCGTGGCAGCACTAGGATGGATTACAATGCAGCTATATGTTTTTATTTGTTGTATTAAAATAAAGATAGTTTTCCTGCAGTGTGAGCTGTAATATATCTGAAGTGTGAGCTGACAGACGTGTGCGAGCACACAGGAACACAGCTGCCTTCATGTTTCTCACAGTCCACGTTCCAGCGGATGCTCCTGGTGGACAGTTTCAGCGAGTCGTTGATGCGCTCCAACACCGTCTGCAGCTTCTGCTTCTGAGCGATCTCCGACTGGGTCACCTCCGCCACGTTCAGTTTCTCACCTTCCAGCTTCTCTGCAGAGCACCGGGGGTCGAGAATAAAAACTCCGCCTCCCTCGGCTCGTAAACAAACGGCAGCGACTCGAAACGAGCGACGGCTCCTCACCGAACAGCTTCTGCAGGACCTGCCCGTCGTACAGGTCTTCAGCCAGGTCCTTCACGATGATGCGCTCCCCCACCAGGACGTCGTTGATCCAGTCGATCAGCACCTGCGCCGAAGAGGAGGAACGAGCAACGTGAGCGTCGTTTTACACAAAGCTGCGGCGAACAGGTCGGAGAATAAAACCCTCTGACCTTCATCAGCTCCTGCAGTTTGGGGTCGTTCTTGGAGTTGGGGTCCACCATGGTACGTACCTCGTTCTCCTCTAATTGGTGACGAAAAGGAAAATATATTTTTTTGATTTTTGTAACTTTTTACTGAAACAGAGACGTCATCAGCTTTAACTAAAGCTGCTGGTCATTACCCAGCATGGTGTCCTCAGGGTCCAGCTCATAGTGGGAGGGACTGAGAGGAAGGTTGATGGCGTTTATCCCCTCCTCCTGGAGCTCCGACACTAAAAACAAGAAAAACCTCATTATTTGAACAAACAACACAGAAGTAACTGTAGAGCAGGAAACAGATGAAACACGGTGGGACACGAGGACCAGGTCTGAGGGGTCTGTGCTAGCCGTTAGCTGTTAGCTCTCTGCTGTCAGACACACAGGAGCTGAGCTGCTTCCTGCTTCTCTGCAGGCCTCACAGAAACTCAGCGTGGATTTCTCCTCAGACCGTCAGAAACCTGAGGAGGTTTGATCGCAGCTGATCTACTCATGCTGTGTGTGTCTGTCGGGAGCATGAGGTGAACATCCTGTGCATTTCTCTGCCCTCGCTGGAACATCCTCTTAATCAACACATCCACATGTAGAACACACACACACACACACACACACACACACACACACACACACACACACACA